GTAGTATTGGATGCCTAAGAGAGGCACTTTAAGGGTAGGAAGCGGAATTGGGAACCCCCCCCAAAACTAGCTTGCTGTCTTACTCAGGATGCTCGCGAGTGCGGTAGGGAGCGCGAGTCAAGTCCTAAGACTGGGGGTAGATAGGTCAGGAATAAAGGCTACGGTGATATTAATTATGATACATGACATATTCACTCTTACAGCCCAGTGAAAATGTGAGAATATTATACTGTAAGGTGTTGGGGGGTATCACGGGAGTGGGGAGCAAGTCGGGCAGAGTTGAGTTGAGATTTTGGCGCTTGTGGAGCAGTCGGATGTTCGTGCCGTCGATCCTGGAAAGAAAGAGGAAAGGGAGGAGAGAAGAGAAGGAAAGGAAAGCGATACTTTTAGGGAGGCTTATATACGAGTGGGTGGCCCTAGTAGTCATGGGGTATCGTTAATAATGATAATCTCAATCATAAAATACAGTACTCGAGCATAGGCACAAGCTCGAGAAGGGATCGTGAGGATACTTCTGGAACTGAACGATGCGAGTCCCGACGCAACTGACACCCAGTATATCTAATCACTCCTTTGGCTAGCTGCTAGGAATGGGGTTGAGGGGGTTGTTGGGATGCTGCTAGAACGGAACGACGTTGAACCTAATACAACTGATACTGAGCTTGGCTGGACACCGCTCTTGTGGGCCACCAGGAATGGGCGTGAGGTGGTGGTGAGGATACGCTGGACCGGAACGGCCTCGATCCCAACGCAACTTGCGCCCAGTACGACCAAACACCACTCTCGTGGGCTGCCGGGCATGGGCATGAGGGGGTCGTGAGAGCACTGCCGGAGTGGGGTGGCATCAATAGCAAAGGGGTTGACGCCGAGTGTGGCCGGGCATTGCTCTCGTGGGCTGCTGGGAACGGATATCGGAGAGTTGCAGAACTGTTGCCCGAAGGGACAGATTTGATTCCCGGATATGTAGCCAGTGCGCGATCAGCGAAGCTCTCCTTCCCTAACCCATCAGAGTTACCCGAACCCCCTTTCGAAAGGGTCCCTAGGTTTTCAAGCTTAACTTAAGGATAAACCTTACACTTCTGCCTCCATCTACTAGACGGACCCTTCTAGCAACGGGGCTAGCTTACGAATCAAAATCCTATGCCTGCCGTACACAGTTCTTGATACGCTTAAGAATAGGAGCCTAGTTTAAGAACTTGCGCTGAAAGTTATCCCACTGCCGTATCATGCCTGTGACACCACTGACAGCGGCAGAGCGCTGCGCACAGCTAAGTCCCAAAGCCGGAGTGGACATATCCTACCAACATTGTATGTTACGGGCTGCTACCAGCCTTCTGGGGGGGTATGTGGGAAATAATATAACTAGAGCGGGTAGATTCGGTCGTAGTGGGTGTAGTGAGTATCACCGTGGGGCTGGTAGCTTTGTTCATCCAGAGCGAGGAAAGCAACATACGAACGCAGTACAGTACTCGGATAATGTACAAGTGCTTGGATGAACAGTCATTATGTCTGCGGCCACTTCTACCTAACGTATAAAGCTTTGGCGGGCACTTCTTAAACCAGGGAGCGGCTACAGGCTGGAGGGGAACACGGTACAAGCGGCTAGGGGAGGGGGAGGAGCTCAAGATTAGAAGAGGCATAGGGAATGCCCCTCGGGGTTGGCCAGGATGTGCAGGGAGAAAGCTGCTGCTCTAAGAGCGGTGGAGGATAGTGGGAGGGGAAATCGATGGTCTATTTATGAAGACTATGTGGAGACGTACTATAGCCGTTTGTCCAGGTACGTAGATAAGTAGTAGTGATAGAACCACTCTCGCGGACTTTTACCACGAGGCCGAGATAGATATCGAGGAAAGTTACTTAAGATAATCGCCACTTATTGGCGATATTAATAAACTTGGTAGTGTTGCCAATCACTGGCGCTCACTTGTCCATTAGGGTAATAAAGCCTCGATTCATATTGCGGAAAGTAAGCGCTTATTCTTTGTATCTCTTTTGCTTGGGAGACGAAGGACGATGATTCTATTTACCCGTGGATAAATCAGCTCATTATCTTGTTGGGGGGATGTGGAGGAGGGGGTAGGTGTCCGGGAGTGAGGGGTAGCGAGGAGGACAAAGGAGAGGGGAGAACATGGGCAATGGGATGACACCGGAGTTGAATAGAGCGGAGAAGAAGAGGATAAAAAGGAGAGAATGGAAGAGAAGATGGGTGGAAAAGAAAGAGCGGAGGAGTTTTCTGACTTCTGTATATAAGGTAGCCTACTCCCCTGTTGGGGTGCGATGGATGACAGACCAGAAATGGAGATATCGTCCCCCCATCATACACAAGGGCTTCTAGTGCGCAAGGTTGTCAAACGGTTCAAAATAACGAAAAGTACTCGGGTCACAGAGGCGAGCTCTGGGAGTTTCATTATAGATATTCATCAATAGTAAGGGAAATGTGTACTTGGCGGTATGATACATTCATATTTTAGCAAAATCGGCGCAATATTTTCCGTTAGCCTATTAGAAACAAAGCTGATAGTTTGCATGACTTCCGTATGTGAACTATCAAGGTTGTATGATAAGAGTTAGGGTGCGTCCTTACCCTTAGAACTAGAGGAAACATTCGGACAGGAAAATCACCATTAGCTATGAGGGGCCAGAGTTGTTTCCGGCAGGAAACCCAAGCCCAAATGACACAACTCTTCCCTGTTCCGGACATGAAAATGACCGAACCTCAGTATAAGCAGTACGCAGGGAGATTCCCATGCTTAATTTGTAACGGATCCTTCCACTCCTTATCTTAAGTCGATGGTGATATCGATTTGGGCGCCCCGGCTTCCAACCGCTGTATCGCAAAATTTTGCGTACGTTTCACCGACACTCTATGATATCAGCAAGATTTCCAAAATAGATGTTCAGCTTGAGCTCCGTCTCATTCAAGTGCGCGCTCTGGTGCTTAACCCCGATCATAATCCTCGCTTTTCGGTGGTTGGTATCAGTAAAAAGCTGGTGTAAACATTCCGGCAGTGCTCGGATGCGGGTGGCTTAGAAAAAAGTCTAATGGGGGACAGACGCCCACCTATCAGAGCCTGGCTTCGTTCTCAGTACGGCTCTCCCTCCGCGCGTGACATATACCTGAGTGATCACTTGAGCAAAAGTGCCCTCTACTATGGTTGATTCAGAATGGCGCGGCGCATTACGTTGGTGGTGCGGATAAGTAGCTAACCGATCGAGTATCAGTGGATGGCCATAACAGCAACTCTTGTCGGGGTGCACTGGGCGGATCTGGTTTGCCTAGTTCCAACTTCCAGGATATCATATCTACCTTGTCGTAAATCTGCTGGAATGTATAAGCCTTAGCAGGTTTATAGGTTGAATTTTTGCTGACCCTATCTTCCGGGGTTTCCCGATTCTGGTAGTAGCATAAGTATGCCTTGTGGGCTATGAAGGCTTCATTAGGCGGTGGGAAAATCATTGTAGTTACCCTACTGAGTTAGTCAATTGACAGCGGGGCTCTTCTACCTATGTTCAAGCCCTAGGGTCCCTGGAAAATATATTGACGATTAATAAGTTCCGATAAGGTACATATGATAGGGGGTTTGTCATTTGCCAACGAGCCATCCATCTGATGACAGACCTACACACTTACCGACGAACAAACATGTTTCATTGGGATGAGGAATCTACAAGTATGAAAATCGATTACATTGGAGGGGGTTTGGGGGCGGATTGTGACTAGGGCGGGGTTCTTTGAGCCTGGGATAGGAGATTTACAGTCCTTTACAAGATGGCGTGGCTGAGTAGTTTAGGTACAAGGCATGATAGGCAGATTACGAGAATTAAAAGAGAGCCTATATGGCAAGGCTGTTATATACCCACCCGGCTACCGGTTCTTCAAAATGGTTGCACTTGTAAAGGTGCTCACGGAGCTCTGGCTTTCCCCCTTTGCGGAGGAAGTGCGGCACTCACCCCTTTGAATTATCCCCCCTTGGAACCTAGGTGAATTCATGTGGAGTATCATGTAGCAATTGGGTATCCTTATCCCCGGCGCTGGAAGGAAAGCTAACAAAGGGGGGATGGTATGGGGGGTTAAAAGAGGGGTGAGTACTTCTTGTATCATCCTCAGTTGGTACCTCTACCTAACATTGTCCCGGCTTTCAGGATCTCTTTCACCAACAGTCCCTTTGACATGCGGATTGTCTGGTCTGCAGAGTTCTCATGGCGGCCTTAGCCCGTTCTTCATGGATTGGAGCGGAAGAGGGTAGAAGAGGGGGGGGGGCTTCTTTTTTGCACAAAGAGGGTTAGGAAAGCTTGACAATTATTCTAAAAACCCCATTCGCACTACCGGTACAGTATTGTTGAAGTGAAAGACCTTCAGGTATGATCCTAGGTTATAGAGGCTTTGGAACAAGTGCTACTACCGAAAAATGCCAAGTGCTGTGATTGGGCGGTGCGAAATGTCGTTCGGGGTGCCTCCTCTGCTGAGGCCTAGCGTATTTCTTCTTTTTCTTGAGGGCCTTAAGAGGGGCTGAACAGCTCACACTTACGCCCCTTTTCCAGAGGGGGAAATTTTCCACTACCTAGCACAGGGTTTAATTATTTGAGGTCTTACCTCTATCGGCAGGCATGTAGGGTATGGTATGGCCAGTGTGCTCCACAAGGGGTCAATCCATCTACCAGTACTGTAACTTATCTCTTACGTCAAGGGCTCGCGTAGACTTGCGACGGTCGACACGGGGGGGGTGTTGATAAGGGATCTGCAGTCTTCGAGCACACTCGAGTACAATACAGTACCGGTACTAACGTTACGGGAAGGAACGGGGGTACTCGCGTACCGTCCGGGTACACTCCAAGTAAATTTATCATACGACAGGGGACGTGTTATCAGACGGGTGTGGAGACGCGTCGAGATGCGTCACGAACACCTTGTCATTTGAGCAGGTCAGACCAATAACCCTAGCCCAAGTGCGGCTGAACCGTATTTGACTTGCGGAGCGACCATGAACCCCGGTCGGGTCAATCTTTGGGGGCAACGACACGTTTCAAGGTTTCACTGTAGCTCGCACAGCTCAAAGCCCGGTGGAGGCGCAGCTTGGAGAGAGCAGAAGGCGAGGGAAAGTACCCATACCGTAGCTTTACTGAAAGTTGTTCGCATCTATCAAATGACTCACCGAAAATATCAGGACAGATTCCTGCAACTGTCTTTATATACTGCTCGGGGACCGGTGACAAGGGAGGAGCCAGCCCAACCATCATGTCCAAGTTGACATCGTACCTCCGATCTCTGTATGGTGCCCCGGGGCCGGTGGGCAGATGCTTAATTACTGGGCTAGATGCCTCCGGGAAGACCGCACTACTCTACCGGATGAAATTGGGCGAGAAAGTGGTAACCATTCCTACCATCGGATTCAATTGTACGAGGGAACCGCCCCGAGTCCTGTACAATACGCTAATACTTCGTAGGTGAAGATGTACCCCGGGGAGAAGATATCATCACGTTCTGGGACATCGGGGGTTGTGGCAAAATAAGGCCTCTTATACGCCATTACATGACTCCTGGTCATTCCGTAATATTCCTCGTTAGCACCAGCGAATGTGTCCGGGATGCGGAAAGATACAAGGACACCATTGATGAGCTCAAAGCTCAAGTGACAGAATCAGTGCGAGTCGGTGTCGTTTTCATCCTTGTGGCCTTCTCCAAGCAGGACTTGTTAACCGAAGCTGAGCACCACCAAGAAGCAGCTGTTAAACAGTACGTCAAGGAGACCATGGATGCCCTTCTTCCCATGGGCGCCGCTAAGGGCCTGTTTTCAGTCATGAGTACTGGCTTCAGCGCTGATGAAGGCAAGGGGGTGGATGAGCTGTTAGATGCGCTAATAGCAGGTGTTAAGCGGAATAATGTTGATCCTGTTGCTCTTCCCGAGCTCGGGTGCCCCGTGGAGCCTGTCCATAAACCTATCCCGGAAGATGTGAAAGACCCTTACGTTGGCTTCGCCCCGGAGAGGTTCTTTGAGATGATGGAGTCTGCAAGTTTGCATGTATGGGATCATCGAGCTCATGTGCGCGGCGGGTTCTACGTGCTTATGAAATGTCTTGGGTCCGGCTTAGGTCTATGGGATGCCGTAGAGGATTTCCTAAATGTCCTAGATAAAATGTTGGCTACAGATGCCGCGAGGGCTCAGGTTGAAGGGACTGAAAGGAAATTCAGAAACACAGTTCACAGGTAGGATTACAATCTGATATCCGCAGACTACCGAGTTAACTCCGTGTGTAGAACCATGACTACGTTCTATCTCCACAGCATATACTTATCCATGCTCAAGTTCATGGAGTTCCGTAACCCTCCTCGAATCCCCGAGCACCCCGATTTTGAGGCTTTCATACGGACAAATTCTCACCTCTTGAGCTCATCCTTATGGTCGACCTACTACTCTCGTGACCTCATGTTTTCCCCACCCGCCAAAGAATCCTGGCGCCTCCCAGACCTCAAACCGTTACCAACCTACTTCCGTCCGGGCGGCCAAATCCCTCTTTTTCTCTCTTCGCCAACTCCATCGGACCCGAACAAGCATTACAAAATCTTCGCTCTCGCAACCCTAAAGCGAACCAAAGCCACCAGATCCCGTCGCGGAAAAGTGATCGCTGACGCCCTTGATGCCCTCAACCGCCACACAATTCGTCAGAGGGTTCGAGATCCAACTGTCAAGCCTTACTCCGCGACGAAGGCCTACTTTTACATACAAATATTCCATGCTGCCATTGAGGGTTTAGGGACAAGCCTCGACATCACTCATCTTTCGTACGACGCGTTCGCTCTCGCATTCCCGGATCTTGTGCAAGGGGATTTCTGGCGGGAATATTATAAGGAGAAGGTATGGGAAAGTGTTCAAGCCCGGGCTGAGTTTGTCCCCCCAACGGTCAAACCTTTACCGAACATCATTCCCCTCGTGGACATCACGCCTGCTGCGGCAAGAGAAGCGCGCAAAAGAGCTACTGGAAAGGTGCTTGCAGACGACACAGAGCTTATGTTAGCCGAACACTGGGCTTTCTCCGACATGCAGGACCCGAGTCTGATGCTACGTTCGCACGGAGGAATGATATGGTGGTATTTTTCAGCACTGTGGACTGCCATACGTTCTCAATCTTCCTCCCATGCTCCCTCTTCCCCATCCCCTAATACGTCCGCCACTATCCCTTCCACCCTCGGTGCTACCGCAAGACTCCTAGTAAAAGACGAGCTCCTGAAAGACGATTCAACCCGGGGTGTCACGGAGAAAACGTTCTGGGTGCAAATCATGCTTCAGCGAATGGCCGGGTTCGAAACCACTGCTGGAGATGGTTCATGGGATAGAAATACCTGCCTGGTTGATGCGAGGAGGTTTTTGGCAGAGAATCGGGTGGTCGCGGATGAGGATTTGTGGATGGAGTATTATTCTGCCGAGAGCTGGTGGAGCGCGGATGCTGCTTCTATGTTCTTGCCCCCGGATTTAAAGGATTTGAGGGGGGTTGTTTCTGTCGGTGATGGGGATGGGGATGGTAAGGGGCCATGGGCCGGGGTGTATATTTCGTGAGCCATGTAGCATAAATACCTAATGTTCTCTTTTTATGTGAGGCGTGTCGGTCGTGTCGACGGGGGTTGGCTATGTAGAGTACAGAGCGCTCACCTAGGGCTTTCCTGGCACAGTTCACTCCAAAGTGTCAATTCCGAGCCTGAAATCAGGTTGGATAGTTGGCCGCCGTACTCTAGCGGTGTCATCTAGGGTCTCACTACTAATTCGAGTGATATCTTATGTTGATATAGGTCACACATCGGCTGAATAATACCGCACTCTTATCTCTACAATCGTCTTCAGTTTCGATGTTTAGAACTCCTATTTCTGTGGCCTTATGCATAGCTTCTAGTGTTTTATATATCATAAAGCGCAGGCCGATATCCGACGAGGAAGTAGCGTAAGCCGGAACAGAGGTCAAACGGGAAAGAGTGGTTTGGTTTGTTAGAGATATAGTACGCATACTGTGCACAGTGAGGCGATATAATATATCGGACCAGACTATTAGTATTAGTCACTATTATCACTAGCAAAGGGTTAAGTTAGGTGTGATGCATTCAACAACTGCCGTTTCAGCCTGTCATATTTGCCCCCACTTGTGTTTTCTACTGTGTTCAACCTGTCCCATTTCCCCGCTCCTTTCTCCGAACCTCTCTTGATATAAGATCTGTCGTGCTATGCCGAGGTTATACGTTATTTCTGGCACTGGGAGATTTTTTTCCCTTCTCCGCCCTTTCTCCGGGTTTGACCCCCCCACCATTAGTCCCGGTTAGAATACACAGACCTCGCTGATGTTGCTCTCGGTTCCCCCGGAACTCTTGGCGCTCGGTCGGTGGTCGAGGAGCAAAGATGATAGTGGAAGGCTTGGGTTGAGCTCCTCCACCAGTTTTGGGGTGGGGATGGCGTTTCCGTTTCATGCTACTTGTAACTATTGGTTGTCTGTAGCTTCGTTTACTCCGGAGCTTCGCAACCGATTAGTTCAAGTCCAACAATACAGCTGTTAAACCCCACTCTCTTTTCCCCGCCTCGTTTCACCCGTCCGGATATGCCGAACCTTTTTCCTATATTAATAACTCGATTGGCGGAAATGACATGGAGTGGGGAAGAGGTTATTCTGCCGAGAGGTCTAATTTTCAACCAGAGGGCGGGAAATCGACATACCTAGAGAGGAAAGGTCTACGAGGAGCTCTCAAGTACCCGAATTTCACTAAGTTATCGGATATGTGCTATTCCCGTGGGTCTAATAACGGCTCCGGGAACGTCGGTGGACTTCTGCCCTCGTCACTGGGCGGAGCTCCATGCAGTAAATCCGTTGCTTGACAGGCCGCAAAGACACTTTTTGGGGAAGGGCAAAAAAACGTGCTTTGTTCCATGTTCACCTTCTATCCCTTTTTCCATCTCCCCACTCTCGGGAAAACCACTCTGGATTTGAGGCATATAGCTCGCAGAAATTCGGCATCTCACGTTATGCGGAGGTTACCGCTCTTTCGCCGTCGCACGGCAACAATGCTGGGATATCCTCCCGCGGAGGTTATGGGAACCGAAGGCTTTTTCGCAGGGCCGCCACTCGCCGGGTACGCTATCAGCCTTGGGGGTGGAAGGATGGCCGTGGACAGGTTTTAGATTGTCCCTAGCTTATTCCTCTTTGAACTCTTAGAAGGAAAGAAGTGCCCGAGACAGGGGAGTGAATTTGTACGGGCATTTAGATAAGCACTAGGTTTCGGGCATATATTTTGCGAACCCCTGTTTGCGGCACCGTGCCTCTTGCCTGGGCGAGCATAGAACTTAGCGTTTTTCCTTAGCTTTGCTTTTTGTTAGTAAATGGGGCGATTACACGTTCTCACTCAGCCTGCACAAGCACTCTACTATTCGACACTTCATCCCACTTTTAACCCCTGCTTTCAGGAATGGTTCTGACAGGTGTCATCCCCGATCTATTTCTTCGGCATTGACCCCAAATTGGAAAATTGGCTCTCACAATACCAGGGACCATAGCACCGGCATTGGGCACAGTGCTCTACGAACAGGGTATGCTTGATCTAGTTAGCCTCAGGTCTGGGTGGCATGCCTTACAGGGCGTCTAGGAGCACCCACATCCGGATACAGAAAACCTATGCACTCCAGCATAGAGTGCTCTGAAGTGCTGGTAAGATAGGGATGACCCGATGGAGGGGACCATAAGCTTTTGAATTCTGCTTTGAATACATCCCGTTAGCGATGGTGGGGTAACTGCAGGATCCAGGTACTGTACAACACCCTCCTGATACTCGTCTATGCTCGAAAATAAATTTCCTTCCCTTGGTAGATAGGAGTGGCCTCGTTTCTACCCGGGGCCTCGTGCGATCATACAATATCCATCATGTTTCGTGAGGCAAGGTTAATACGACTAAATAGAGGGCACTATCGTGCCACCTCAATTGAGCCTCTGTCATAAATTTCTATCCCGTTAGTTACGAGCCCACAATGAGACTTTGCGGTTTCTGGGTTACAAATTCGAGCTTGTGTTGTGGTAGAGTACACTATAATATATTATATGTCGTGCGTGGCCGCAATCCTATTTGGTCACGAGGTGTGGGTTATAGCTGATTGCTTAAGTTAGATTTGAAATCACTGGTGTTGCAGCACTGGCTGATGGGGGAAAATCAAGGTTGGTAAGTAAATTAGGAGAAGGTTTGAGTTCTCGTGATTGGTTGGATGCGGTGGCGGCGATGGAGTTTTTAGATATGATATCTATCTTGAATTGTATATAACCTAGCGGACAATGATTAGGAATTCATACCGTGAATTATTTTTCTTGGTTTTTAAATCTGCCATCCGGGATGACCCCTTTGCGCTTTCGTGGGGTGTGGATTTGGATAGCTGGTGATCCTGTTGGAATCTATGTAGCGGGTGGGCTCATGGTTTGGGGGCGCCATAGTGGAACTGTAAAGTATTATACTTCACCGTGTCCGGAATGCCCCATCATGTAGCCCTCCTTTCTTTCTTTCTTTCTTCCTTCCTTTCTGGTAGGTAGACATCTATTCATATCCGGGCTTTGTATCATCCCCACCATTTTAATTATTGTGGAAGATACCCGTGTCAGTAACTTACAGCAGCCCGCAAGGATTGCGGCCGTACCTGACCATGCGCACTCACATGAGTTCGGGAAGTATTTTCGGAAGGGGACTCGGTGAGGATATTTGATTGTAGGCGGTGCTATTGTGCGTCTCTCGCTTTCTTGTTTCTCCTGCGGAGATGGAGCTGTGGGTAGGGTGGGGTGAGGTAGGAGTTTATATGCTGTATTGGTTATTAGAGCGCTGGCTTAAACTAGGCCAGGTTGGGTGTCTTATTCGGTCTTATCACTATCACGGTAATTGCTCGCGCCAAGCTCTGGCTTCATAATAAATGGAAAGATTTGAGGAATATATTTTCACCCTTTATACTGTATACACTAGGATAATATATAAATCTATATATATACAAACATTCGTTTATTCATTTATTCACCCATCTATTCATCTAATACATCCCTCCGCCTCCCGCATATTTGACTACCTACACTCCAACGATCAAACCTCAAATTCCACATCCCGAACAAGTTTCACATCAAACTTCTTCTCAACGACCTCCGCCTCTTCCTCCCCATCTCCCTTCACACCCTCCCGCTTCTTCCCAAGCACCTTCACCGACTCAATCTTAACACTAGCACCGTCCCCCTCACCCTTAAACCCGAACTTCCCCTTAATTCTCAACCTCCCGTTCTTGAACTCCATCGTGACATCAATGACGGCCTTTTGCTGAAGGCTGACTCCATCGTCAATGTACAAGCTCCCGCTCGCCTCGCCGCGCTCGTCTGGGGCGACCACGATCGTGAATGGCCGGGTGCGGAGCTCGGCGGTGGTACGCGCGCTAGAGGAGCGGAAGGGCAGGATGTTCCCGCCGAGGATGTGTAATGGGATTTCGTCGAAGAGGATGTCTGTGAGTGTTACGTTTTTTCCCTCTCCTTGGATCTTCTTGCCGGTATGGAAGTCGTAGAGGGTGTCCTTTGGTAGGTAGACTTCTACGCTCGTGCTATTCTCCTCAGTGACTGGGGAGACGAGGAGTGCGTTGCCGTAGATGAATTGGGTGTCAATTGGGTAAGTATTTGTGTCCTTGGGGTACTTGAAGAAGAGTGGGTTGAGGAGTGGGGTTCCGTCGATGGATTGGCGATGCATGGCAGTGTAGATATAGTCTAGAAGGCGGTAGCGGATGTTAATCGACTTGCGCGCGGAGGAGGCAACGAGCGGCCAGAGGTAGAATTCCTGGGAGATGGAGGTGTCGCCATTGTGGTTGCGGAAGAAGGGATTGAAGGCTCCGAGAGAGGCCCAGCGTGCGCAGAGGGTTTCTGTGGTGTTGCCGCCGAAACCGCAGACGTCGGAGCCCACCATGGGGATTTGGTAGATGCTAGCGAAGCCGAGCATGCCGGCGATGGACCAGCGGCTAAGGGTTATTAGCTAAAGCTGGTAGGAAGGATGGAAGGGGGGGCGTGCTAGTGATCCCATTGGGACAAATTGTCTCCGAGCCACTTTCCAACACGCTTGCCGGCACCGGCGAAAGTGCTGCGGGTAATGATCAAGGGCCTCAGTCCGGGGCGGCGGGCAAGCATGGCTTCGTAGGTAGTGTCGCTCATCACTAGAGACAATTAGTATCTGTGATACCGGGGTGGTGTATGGGGAACTTACTGGTTCCGTAAAGATTGTGAGTATCATACTCCGAAAGGCCTCCATAGTGCATAATGTCGGTGTGGACAGTACGATCGCTCAATCCTAATGGCATATCATTGGCAATGGCGTAGGGGGGGGGAGATAAGATCAATCGAACCGCCCTTCTGTCTCTTACGCACTCTACGCTCCGCGCTCTGAGCGGCCAAAATGGCGTTTCCGGTACCGGGGAATCTGTGAGTATACCTGGGGGGCTCGCGGACAGGGAGGCGCTGAGGGGGCATCTTCTGCTTGGCGGCGTCGGCCTCGGGGTCCTTGCATGGATAGTTGCAAAAACTGGCGGGCTCGTTCATGTCAATCCAGACACCGTCAATGTCAACACCAGCATTAGCAGAGAAGAATTCAGCAAACTCGGCAGTCCAGAAAGGGCCAGTGTTAGGATGAAACCAATCGGGGAACACGGCCACACCGGGCCTAGCAAATGTTAGATGCGATTCCCGACAAGGAGTCGAATAAGTGGCTCACCAGACGACACCCTTATGGATGGAACCATCAGCCTCCTTGAGCCAAATGGCATCCGCCTCGCCACGGTTGAAAGTCGGGTAGTTTTGGTAAGCGGTGGCAGGGTCAACCATGACAATGTAGTGCTGGTCGTGCTCGTGGAGGTAGTCGACAATCTTGCGAACCTTGTCGAGAGGGAATCGCTCAGGGTCAAGTGTAAAGACCCAACGGTTGTACATGTAGTCAATATCGGTCCACATAGTCTCCAAGGGAATTTCGGCAATGGAGTAGTTTGCAATAGCCTATTTTTCCGGGTTAGTTCCAATCATAATCGAGCACTCGGCCATATATTACCTCGGCAACGTCAATCCAATCTCTGTAACCATAACGGCACTGGTGGAAACCCAACCCCCAGTAGGGCATCATGGCGGGAAGCCCAGCGACTTCAGCGTACTGCTTCGCAACAGCAACTGGCTTGGGGCCAGCAAAGAAGTAAAGATCCAAGACACCTCCAATGACATTATACTCCAAGCTTGACCTACCATTCACGGTCTCAAGCTTGATGTCCATACCATTGGAGTTCAAAAGGAAGACACCGTGGGTACCCGATTTTCGGTGATCGAAGTAGATGGGGTGGTTCCCGTACAGGTTGCTATTCTGCGGTATACCATAAGAGTCTCTAGACCAGAGAGTACGGGTATAGTTGACATTAGGGAGACGGAAAGAGTCAGTATGTTCTCCGAGACCGTAGATGTTAGGGTCGGTAGGCAGAGAGGTCTTCAGGCGCAGGTATTGGCTCTCAAAGACGAGCGGGTTCCCGGTGGTATCGAACAGCTTCTCACCTGTAGAGCGCCGGGAAATAGTAAAGCCGAAGGGGGAAGAGGCGTAGGTAAAGGCGATATCGGACGATTTCGCTAACCCAGTAGCTGTGCGGTCTGGGCGGGGGAATACCTCTCCCGGAACTTGGTATCGCCTCTCATCTGGGTCGGTAATCTTAACATGAATGCGAGAATCTGCGATAAAGTGTTAGTCAGTAGCACGCGCAAGATAGAGGAGTAAGTTCATACTAGAGTCGTATGTCACTTGCAGCTTCAAGCTTTCCAGATCCCTGCCGTAGATGTTACAGGCTGTTCCGGCGAGCTGCAATTTCGCCGTGAGACCGGTAGTAGTCTCCTTGACGCTGGTCACCCTGTAACCTGGGCACGAATTGGCGGGAGCGCCGGGACGAATGACTGTGGTAGCTAAGACAAAACCAATGGACACTAATATCACTGCGCTGCGGGTGAGGAATGGCATGTTGTGGTGCGCAAGGAAATAGAGATCGCCCCGATCGGCCCACTCTCTGTTCACAGGGGGTATCGAGCGGATAGGGCGCGGGAGAAATGTTGGGGGCTGTAGGCTATTTAAACTCTCTCGAGAAGCCGGTCGAGGGATTAAACCGGGGGCGTAGAGGGATTATCGAGGAGGGGTATGGCTCGGCAGCGGCCCTGCGCGGTTTGCTGGCAAAGAAGATGGACAGACCATCGAATGGACAGCGTCTGGGACTCGGACATAAAATTTCTATGACCTCCGTGCTATATAGTTAGGGAGCATGCGTCAGTCGAAAAGCACCTCCAGCGTTCCTCCTAGCCGTTTGAAGCGGAGCCGCGGACATTCTTCACCGTAGCGCCGGCTCGTGGTCCGATGAATTGGTTGGGTAGAGTGGAATGAAGAGGAGTCCACCAGGGGGTTCTTAAGAAATGCTCGAATGCCGCGGTCAGCAATTCAAGAGGACATCAGGGGAAGAGTTAAGTTGACAATACTAGTGCTCGAATAGTACCGTACTAGTACTGTACACCTCTCGGCCAACCGGTGTTCCACATCGTCATGTGTTGGCTATGGCTAGCACATCGCCGCCGCATTGGGCATCTGTTTGTTCTTCCTGCGTTGGCACAGTTCCCCTGTAACTTACCCGAATGTGTTGGGATGGGAGTTGCACCCCCACTCTGGCGGGCGATGAGCCACTTGGCGCCTGAATTACTGCTACCGTGTCATACCAAGCCATCGGGCGCCACAAAATTCGACGGCTGAGTGGCGCCATTTCCCTGGCAGCCCAACATGGAAATCTTTAGGAGCCGGCCGGCACCATGATCTTCCGCAAGAGATTTTGTTTCCCCCCGCTACTGCTGCATGTCCCTTTGGTGACTTATACCCCTGAGGTACACCCGGATATACAGTGGTAGAATTACCATGTGACTGTAGTATTTGGACAAATGCCGGTTCAAGTTGAGAGTACGAGTACTTCGTGATTCATAAAGTATTGGGATGGTTTTATTTCCTTGGCGCAAAGGAAAGTTACAATCCGAATACTTTATGAAATCGTCAAGTACTGTGCAGTACCTGAGGGTTATCTTCTGAAAACCGGCCATAATGGTGATCCCATGTACTCATATAGGCTACTAGCACGACCACGAATAGAAGTCATGTGGTTATATTGTACCTTGTATTAACGGCATTCCTCCAATTATCAATCTTGAATAGTCGTCTAGAGGAACAAACCCGTCAAAGTAGCTTTTGTCTTGCTCAATCCTTATCTACCGTGGAATCTCAAGTAATCGAACGTCCAAAAATTCCCTCCCCGGAAAAGGTGCGAAAACAACAGCGGGGGTGAGTTCCTCAGCCCCTCCGAAAGGCCGACAAAAATGCCTGACCTTGCCAGGCCTTACCAGAGGAAGAAAGCCGGACGACATAGCAAAGGGTTCCGTTGTTTGAGGTTCTCGGTACTTCTTTATAGCCGATATGAAGTGTCGAGGGGTAGTCTCAAGAGGGTCCACACCCATTAAAAGTTTTTCCCTTTCTCTTTTCCCCTTCTCCCCCCTCCCTTCCCCAACCGGCTCATCTTTCTAGCTCGCTAAAGACATTAGCAATGGCTGCTGTAAGTCGGCCAAGCGGCCCATATTTCAGCGCCCCATAACATCAGCACATGTTGGCCTTCATGGGTGGAGGAATGGATGCGGGCGGTGCTGTCGGGTAGCGAACCCAAGGGCGGAGGTCACTGCAGCTATGGTGATGCACTGTACATTCCATACCCAAGCACTCCCGTGGTCTTGTAAACTTGGATTGACTTTGCCGGCAAAAAGTGACCCCAAAGCAAACTTCCGTGTCTGGGCCTGGAGGTATGATAATTCCTTCCGGTGCGGTTTTTAAGGGGCGCCTTCTCCGTTTGCCAGTAGGTCTTCTCGATCTCAACAGAATCTAGAAGGGTTTTCCCCGATCGATGAATATATCGGCGGATACTCGTTGGGCTATAGCTGCATCTCCGAAGCCCTCGCTTTGTCTATGCGGCCTGCCGGTACCGAATTAATCGCTGCCCTGTTTGCTACCTTCTACCAAGGACCAGGTCCACTCACGCTTCAATCACCTGTGATACAGCAGCCCTATCCCGGGATTTCAGCATTCCATCATTCACTCTCAAACCCCTAGAGTGATTGTGCATGTAATCTAGACCCTAACGACATGTCGGCGCACGTGTTTTGACGGAAAAACATCGACATCAAAACTGGGATCAACCGCCCTATCTACCGTTAACATGCTAGAACGCTATAGATCGTGTCAGAGTGGTGATAGAGCCCTGGCTTTCAAAATTCTGGTGTTATGTTCTCATGAGTGTTTATTCACGCAGCCGGCGTGGCGGCGGGGAGGCTTCTAATGCCCCTGGCCCGGCTGGCGCGTTTATTAATGACAAGATATCATAAATGGCCGCACCCCGAGGATGTTTGGTGTTGGTCAAGGTGGAGGTATTTGCACCACCCCTCGGGCACTGATTTTTCGAAACTATGATGATAGTGATGGCATAATCCCAATAGCAGGATATAGAGGAGACTGTATAGTGTTGATGAGATGTGTGGAGGAGCATAGAGGTATGTTTTGGGGCTGTGTGCCCCTAGGTTGTTGGTGTGACTGTCTTGTTTGTTAGGGGAACCAGCACTGTTTGTGGTGGCTCCCTCTCTTTTTCTGTGTTTGGTCTTCTTTCGGAGCTTCTGAGCGAAGGCAAGAACGACTCCTCTCTCCTCACCTTCGGTCTTCGTCCACACCGTGATTTTTCCCCTTTCCACTGCACCGAGTCCGGCCATCAGATGGTGGTATTAGTATAACCTTTGTATGTGGTAAAGATATTGCCGCCGGAATAACTGATACAACATCTGTAAGCCATCTCGGGACTTATAGATGGCGTAGTTATGGATCTGGTTGGGGATGTAATGTGTATTTACTGAGTTGGTGGGTTGAGTGGTCAGAGAGCCGGGGTGCTCTACGCCTGTATGGTTCGTTTCCCCGAGCACTGGGCTGCTCCTATCCAACACAGACCAAAACCCGTTAAATGGGCTGTTCGGTAGAACGTGCCGAACCTCTGTAGGTGATGTTCCGGGACTGTATCGCTGTTACTTACCGGTACCATAGATGGCTTCGGGAACAGACATTCGGGGGCCTTGGGGTGTCTGACTTGGCGCGTAGGGTGGCAAACTTGATTTTGTTCCGGTGGGATAAGAACGCTAAAGCAACCTTGCTAGTTCCTCTTGGGGATTCAGAGGGGTTGAGTGCCGAGAGAGCAGTTATCCGGAGACCCACCGAACCGGGATCCGGTGATATAATCTTTGCAAGGGGCCATCCCACCTAAATGCGCAGTATTCACTCGGATGCGGTAGAAAAGGGGGGCGGGGCCGTCCCAGGAGTGCCACCTAGAAAGCACGTTTAAACTCAGGGTTCCTAAATCACCCATTGCAGCCTCCTTCCCAAATTCCTTCTGGGAAAGGGTTTGTCGACAGGGGTGTCGAGTGACATCCTGTGATGACCGCACGGCAACTCTTGCGAGGTGAACGCCGCGGGTTGGCGTCCCTCATTGTTGATTTGTGATCACTGTAGGAGCGTGGCAGGCGAGGGGGGGAAACCCGCAAGGAAAAAGAAAAATAACTTGCTCTGAGCACCGAGCCTTACTTCCCTAGCCTATGCATGGTATTCCCACCAGCCTGCGATATTACTGCCCGGGAATCGAAGCAAGCGTCATTTGAGAGTCGCGCGTGATTCTCCGGGGGAGAGTGAACAACAAATGAATGATCTTTGGTCTACCTAAGCCTTGTTCTGGTCATTTTGGGCGTGCCAAATTAGCACTTTGCACTGCACACTCAGCACCATTCTTCCAACATAGAGCCTTGCCTTGGTAGGTAAGTTATCTCCCTCGATTGATGTTTCAAGCAATCGCAATACCGTACGCACAACCAACACAAGAGGTAGGGCGCCCACTATGATGCCCGGGCATAGTAAGCGCTCGAATGTGTGAGAAGCGTGCCAGGGCATTGTAGGAGTGCTCGCAATTGCCTCCTGCGGTCCTTGTGACGTGCCGCGCATTTTTCTTTTTCTCTGTCCTAACCGAGGGCTGAGCTTTGGCCTGATCTCTCCACCCTCCCCCCATCCCGGAGAGGGGATTTCAATGACATACCGACACCAAAATAACAAAAAACATAGCACATTTCTCTTGTATTAGAGTACTTTTGGTGCTTAATATCAACAGTACCGTATTGAATTCTGACTTCACACAATCACTAACACTTGTCTTGTTAGGGAGGGGGGTCTACGACGCTTGCGCAAGTATCATCCAACCTACACCGCATCGGTGCGGTGCTGTGGTCGGCTTCTTTCCTTATTTACACCCTCTTGCTTAATGGTGAATCTAGCTTAAGCTGGTTCCTCACAGGTAATCGAATATCAGATGCGAGTGCAGAGATGCATGGGGGAATATGACATGATGCCCCGCCCGGGATGAACTATGGCGGGAGAAAAGCGCTGTGCTGTGCTGTGTGGTACGGGTGCAGGAACAGGATTGAGCATGAGTAATGGTGGTGGTGGCGGCGGCGGATCCGAACCCTTGTGTCGGAGTACCGGGTTCAGTTGAAGTGGTACTGAGCTCGCTGAATGCGCTATCGTTGTAATGAAGGTGGAGGGAAAAAAATGGTATGGTAGGATAGGGGTGCGAGTGTGCACATGATGGCTATGGTGAAGATGAAGCAGGAGGACTTGTTAACCCCTTTTCTTTCTTCCGTGTACAGCAATTGCTATAGTGTTATGAGCGAAACGCCCCCAGCCGAGCAAATATAGAACTTCTCCCTGGTAGAATAGCAATGAAACGTAAAACAAGTTAACTAGGGTATAGTCCATCACTCGGCCATGCCCGAAATCACCCTATCCCAGTCCTTCCAGTCAATTTCCCCGCTATAGTTATTGCCCAAGTCCCAGTTGGCGAATTCCGTGTATTCTCCGAGTGCCGTCTGTAGCACTGGCATGCCCGCTATGCTACCCGCCGCGGCTACTGGCGCAGTGCCTGAGCCCACCTGCTGTGACATGGCTCCCACCTGGACTTCCGCCACCGTTCCCTCAAGAGTGGCCCCTTCGGGCCCTGTCCCCACGATTCCCTCCACGGGCCTCTCAGCCCTCTCGGCCACCTCCCCAACCGCAGCATTCCTCTTCCTCTTCCTCCCCTTTGCCACAGCAGCCACGGGCGAAGCTTCCCTACTCCCCTTAATCCTCTTGATAGCGTCCTTATCCTCGGCAACCTTCTTGGTAAACAACATTAGCGTCCCAGAGAGAACCATAAAGCACCATCTCCGCCCCTCGCACATGAACTTTGCAATATCACCAATCTTGGTTACCGCCTCCCCCGCCTCGCTTCGCAGTTCCGGTGAGTACCCACTAATGGGATCATGCTTAATGCTAAGCCCCACCAGAAAGCACCTCACGATAGCATAGAACAGGATACTCCAGATACTCGGTCCCGTGTCCAGTAATTCCTTGCTCGCAAAGCCGAGCGCGCGAACAGCCTCCCTCGCGAGGTGCAGGCGTTTACCCTCGATATTTGGTATGAAGAGGTTGAAGAGTTTGGCTTCCGTATCGGAAGATGGCTTGAAGAAGGGGCCGTAGAAGAGGAGGCGGATGGCGGCGTAGTTGAGTTCCAAATGGGCCTGGGTTATCGGTGAGAGCTTATCGGAGGAGCGGAGGCGGGCACCGAGGTCGTCGACTTTAGCTTCAATTTCGCGGAATTGTGTAAGCGTTACGTGCGCAAATCTGTCGGCGCGGAAGCAGATTGGGTGGATAGCACCGAGGACGCGAGCTTGGTGGATTAGTTCTAGGAAAAATTCGTGTGCGGCTGGGGTGTTATTATCGGTGGGGTCATTGCTGTTGTCGTCGAGATCTACTGCTGTGGGTAAGGAAGTGCGGATATCCGCTGTGTCGAGCATGAGCGGGTGCCCTTTCCCCGTACTCGTCCACCGATCTTTGGTGAAGAGCACCCAGAACAGCCTGCGGTGCAGCTCCGCCATGTATGGGGGTGAGGAAGGGTAGGTGGAATCGTCGTGCAGCTTCAATTCCAGCGCCATCCGCACCGCACTGGCTAGTCGCAGCGGCCAGGTTTCCACGCCTTCTAGCCCCTCACATTGCATCTCCAGTGTCAGGTGGATCAACGCGAGCGCCTGACACGCTTGCAAGCTTGGGACATAGTTCGCGGTGAGCTGCTTAAGTTGGTGATCGAACACCCGCTTTATGTGCAGGAAGTCCCTCGTTGACACTATCGCCCCCGGTAGCCTGGCGGCCACGCCGTACATTGCCGAGAGCAGCAGCTGGCTCGGAACGGTGCTGGAATCGTCGAGGTAAGTCTGCGTGATGATGGGGATGTATGGGTGCACGCGTGCGAAGTAGAGCTCCCGCAGGTAGGTCAGGACAGGCTTGTCAAGGCGCAGCTCGTGGTCCAGGTCTCCCTCTTCGGCCCAACAAGCAGTGTGCTTGTGCTGTAGTCCTAGGTCCTGCCGGAGGCGGAGAACTCGGTTAGCGCTGGGCCCGTCGGCCGGGAGGAAGCTAGATTTCCCGAGTTGGAAGCCGCCGAATGCGGAGGTGGAGCCGTTGAGGACGATTGCCCTAGGTTTCATTCCTATGTTAGCTAGGCAAGTGGGGAAGGAAGGGGAGGGGGTAGGGACCCGTCTTTTGCTGGTTGGGGAGGTAAGTGTGTATCTCGAGCTTCTAGATCCTTGACACATTCTCTACCGTGGTTCCTACACCAGACGCAGATTGACGAACCCTCTACGAATTCACACTTTAGATGCCGGCGGCGGCAGTCTAGGCATGATTTTTTTTTGTGCTTGCCGGAGGCCATGTTATCCTTTCTTCGCATCCTCTCACACACTCTGTCCCTTCCTCCCTGGGCACCTCGTTCGGTCGTCGTGGGTGGCGGGGTGCTTTACGGTGGTTTCAACAGATCACGCTGCTTGACACTGGGGGATGTTGGAGCTTTTCTGTGATAGTACCTGGAGCTAAGAGTAGCGGGGGAGTGAGTGATGGAGGTGGTGGTTGGTGCTGAACAGACTATGGCCGCCTGGCAGGTAGGGTTCAAGGATGGTGGGCATGTACTTGTACGAGTGAATGTGGGGAAGCCGCAGGCAAGTCTTGGTCTGCCCCGTTGTCTGTCTATCTGGTGTGTGCAGCTTGTCTCAGACACTTTCTCCAGAGGGAAAGTGAAGTTTGGCTGTTACACAACGCCCGTCTTTCCTCTCCGTATGGGAATCGCTATTCTGTATTCTCTAGAATATCTGCACTTCGCACCTCTAAGAATGGTTTGTACGAAGACGAGTTCCTGGGGCGGTAGCTATTTCGTTGTCATTTTTTCGTGCTTCCCCCCCGCATCCACTGTATGCATGAAATACCTATGATACACTTGATTGTTAGCGAGTGGTTGAGCACACTGTACAATACCGCGTTGGTGACACCCCGTTTACCGTTTTCCTCTGCAAATTTAAATCATTCTGTGCCCGTCCTGTAATCGATATTGTACCAATCGGCGCTCTACCGCACTTCAAAGACCTAGATTGTTATGGTACAGGTACTGTACAGGTACAACACCGGTTCACTTGGGAACCGTTTGGTACGGATTGGTTGATCGCTGGCCGGCTATGGTGGTCTTGGATGGATATCGTTTCCAAGCGTTTTGCTTTCTTTTTCCGGACATTAAGATCACGATATTCCCCACATTCTTCCCCGCGCTGTTGATCCTATTCCTATCAGCCCCCCTATTTCTTTTATCCTTTCAACATTTTTATCCCCCTCCATCACCACAACCCAGGATTGTTCTCCACAATTTGCTCCCCTCTTTCTTCCCCATGGCAGACAACACGGAACCACAGAATTGCATCAAGAGACTTAAAACCGCTCGAGCATGCGATCAATGCAGGAGTGGTCGCTCACGGTAAACCCTGCTCTCCTTTCCTCCGTCGACCCCACCATTCCCCTGTGGATCTTCTGGTGCAGGAAGCAGGAAAAAAAAGGTGTCATTTCTTCATCCGTCGGGCCAGCCCGTACCCCAAGCTAACCCTGCTCTTGTTAAGCTGCGATATTGAAACCCCACATGCCAGCAAGCGCGAGGGCAACAATTGCGCGAGGTGCGAGAGACTTAAGCTCGAGTGCACCTTTATGCTACCTATCGGGGAGACCAGAGGGAGGAGGGCTACCGCTCAGAAGTATTATCACTCCTCACCGATTTCCCCAAACGGCCCCGTGGCGGCTAACTGCGTTTTCTAGACAGGGTTTAAACCCGCACACCCGACACTCCCCCAGTACGGAATCTGGGTAAGTAAATCCGGCAGCCCACCTAGCGGGTAGGTCCGCTCCGACCCAATTCCGGATCTGACGGTTTAGTACGATAGGACATTCGCTACTCTATCTACCGTCGATCCATGCCCCGACCCAACGGAAAGGTACGGCAATACCTTTACCCTCTTCCTCACTCCCCCCCCCCCGTAATCAGGGTTAGGGTTGTGACTAACCTTAAATTAGGTTCAAAGCATTTCTAGTCAAATACCTTCCGATAATAACTCCGAAGGACCTATCTCATGATTCTCCAATTCTCCTCGGTCTCTGTGCTCGGCTGCTTACAGTGCTATGTTCCGAGTCGAGCACGGATCCCGCGGTCGATGAGCTGAGGACACCTTTGGAGGCGTACATGCTCACCAAGAGCCCGTTCAAAAACCCCGCATTACAGAACGTGCAGGCGTTAATGCTCCTAGCGTTACTGGTTGATGAGAAGAGCTACGGGTTGAAATTCACTACGGTACGTTTCTCAGGAAAGGAGGACACGGAAAGAGAGGAGAGGATAGGCGTATTGATAAGTTAGGCTGTACGAATGGCATGTTCTCTGGGATGGAATTTACAACCCGGCGATGCAGAGGAGGGGAGCGGGTCAGCTTATGAGAGGAATTTGTGGTGGGCGTTGGTGATTCAAGATATTTGGTCCCTCCCTAACTCCCATCACCTCGGACATTGCAAGCTAATAGACACGCAGGTTATATTTGTACTCCGGCCTCCCTATGCTCATCAACTACAAAGACTTTGCCGTGCCAAGGCTGGCAGAAACAGCGCCTCCAATCTTCGCACACCTGCTTACACTGTCTGAGATTCTCCGCTCAATAATCCGCCCGACATCGCTGGCAGAGTCAACTCCCCATTTAGCGCCAACGCCATACCAGGCACTACAAGTTTGGGAATCCTCACTCCCGCGTATAGAGACACGAATTAACACCCCTACCTCTCCGGCAGTGACTGTGTCCGAAAAGTTCATGTCGCCAGAGTCTGTGGTGCAACTCCTCCACACAACTATACTAGCGCTCTTGATACTGGATAACAGTAACGAGGTTGTCAACACCAATCCGGAGGTTAGGCTCTCGCGTGTATTGGGCTTGCATGTGGAGTTCCCAAACGTGTTCCGTAGGTTTGGAGTGCTGGGAAGGTGCGCGGCTATTTGTGCGCTGGCTATGGTAAGATTAGGAAGAGGTGTAGAGTTGGAAGAGTGGAAAAGAGTTGTTGGAGAGGGGGTTTGGAGAAAGGTAGTGGAGAAGGAGCAGAGTGGGGGTGGGTGGAAAGTGGTTTGGGAGATTTGCGAGTAGGTGGTGTTCCTTAGGTAATTTCCTTTTTTAAATTTTTATGGGGATATAACATTATTATGGTGATACCAAGGTTTAGGTTATTATCCCGACCAGACGTTCTTTGTAAGGGTTGATTCGTACTAGCTATGTCGTGTATACAGTCGCCAGTCGTCGTCGCCATGTTCTTAGGAGATGTAGGTGGGGTGTGTGGCCTAGCTGGTTGAAGAGCATGCTTAGTTGGGTAGCCCGGTTACCCCCTAATGCCTACTTACACTTTTCCGCGGGTCCATTCAAAAAAACAAAAGTTGTGATAGTTGAATACCTGCTGCCGGATGCGAACATCGGCCTCCCCATATGAATCGTATCCCGACCCCCCTGCACACACTATCCAACCATACCTAGCCGCTAAGAATCCCAACACTGGGTACCACTCAGCTTTCCAGTACAGCTAATCTCTTAATCATGACAACACAAACTATCACTCGTCCCAATAAACCCCAGAATTTTGGAGGTCGAGTGCGGATTGGCAGGTTCAGGAAAAGAGAAAGGAAAGACCGAGGAGTATAGGGAGAGATGGGGGGTATATCTGGTTAGTAAAGGACCCTAATTTTTCTTGTTATCCTAACCACATCGACCGAAGAAAGCCATACCCATATCCACGTAACTCCGCCCTTGCGCAGAGAGAATGCTCAGCCCAGATGCTCTAAGCTGAGCATACTTCCCTCGCGATGGGGCAGCACCCCAACCACAGCGGCCCGCAACGCAGCAGCCCAAGGCGGACGTAACTCCCCATTCACCGGAAGCCACCAGAGCTCGCACTTCCAAACAAGCAAACCAGGAAAAATACCACATTAAACGTAACTATTATCCATGTGCGGCCGAACTCGTGAGAGCGGTAGGGCATCACAGCTCATGTGAATATATCCGCTATCTAATATTTATCATGATTTGTAGTTTTCTTGGCATGGCGCATCTATGAACCGTGGATGAGAAATTACTTATCCACCGGGGATGTAGGGAGGCTCAGAAAGTGTCGATAAGTAGAAATGGTGTAGTGTAGAGTGCGCTCCTGTGGTACTTGTGGGTCGCGGAGGCTTATCTAATGCAGAGCTTCCGCGTGTGATCTGTGCATGGGTACCAGTACGGGTAGCGGTACAGTATTCCCAGCCCCGTACAGTACTCCTCCCAAGTCCCTTAGGATAGATTCCTGTCCATCCCGGCCGTTTCTGCCAAGAATTTCCCATATCAGAACCACCCAACTGCCCCCACCCCCTGCAAGGACATCCAGGGATCGCAGGGATGATGCGACCACAGGGATAAATTCACCTGCCAATGCCAAACAATTATCAACCCATCAGACTTAAGCTTGTCTGACGTAGTAGCAGACATGAAGGTCGCACTCCGGCCGACCCCTTTCAAATCAGAATTGTGGAGTTCCGGTCATAATTCCAGGACTGGCTTGTCTGGGCTTCTGGTTGGCTAGCCTTTGGTCCGGAGAGTGCATGGTAGCTGGTGGGCAACAAAAGTTTGGATTTCCCTCTGCCATAATGCATGTCTCCGCATAATAGCGAATATACCAAGCTTGCGGTTCGCGGGCCTCGGACCCGCGGCCCACACCCTAATGCTGTGTGAAGACTGATCCAACCTGGAATCCGTAGCAGAGCGGTGGAAAAAAAAAACCCCGGTACGCGAGAGCGCTCCCTTCCCCGACTAGTACCATGTAACCCCCCTAGTGATTCCGAGGACCCAATAGAGAAAACGACAACACATTAGTTTTGTATGTCCCTCCTAGCACACTAGTGAACTGGTGAAATGCTGCGTTTCGCCCGATTCATTTCCGGATGAAAACCCTGTGGGCTAGGTCATTTGAGGCGTTGCGTTGACGAACATTAGTTAGGTTCAGCTTTCAGAGATCGCCCGAGCAGAATCCCTGAAACAAAAATCACCCTAAATTTACGCTACAGTGCAAAACCCAAGAGAGAGGGCACCCTTTTTTTCTGGCAGTTTTCTCCTGCCGGTCGTACATTAGCTTTCATCGGAGTAAATCCTTACCATCTGGCCCCCCACCCTAGCAACAAAACCCATCAGACCCCCGAGTATCTAAATTGAGACTTCATAAATAACAAAGTTATCACGTCAGGGCGAGTGGTTGTCATCATCTGGGTTTTTCCAAGGCTAGTACAGGCAGGGTGAGATGGGGCCCGAAGGGGCTCTTGAGTGATGTGTTCTGAAATCGGAACAGAAATTTCGAACCTTTTATGTTTCCCTCGGGTCGGTAATTTAATTAAGATATCCTTTAGCAAGGAATCTTTGAATACCCCCAGCTCATGCAAAAAACTAGCCGAGAGAGTTGGAAGTCTAGAGGGAAGGATGTTAGCTATTACCCGTGAAACCCCTCCGCCCCACATAAAAGCTTTTACTTTCCTAGACCACAAAGTGGATGTCAACCCACCAGAAACATGTGTTTTCCAACGCACTAGTCAGTTGGCGGAAGCCTGTATCCCGTTGTATTCCTCTTTGGCAGGCCAAATCCCATGAAATCCATGATTTGCGGGTGGGATGAAAAATGAAAACCTTGCGATGTACCTTGAAAACTTTTGGTGGATTTGAATATCTGAGAATGGCGCGTATAAAGGAATGCTAGAGAGGTAAGTATTAGCAGATGCCTCAGGAATCCCACACCGATAAGCATTCGCAGTGGATGTTGAAGGATGGGGAACAGAAAGAGTGACTAAGATATACGTAGTTCAATCCTGTATTCGGAGAAATGCCAGTGCCCGTAGAGAAGAGGAGAAATATTTTTTTCCCCAGGAAGGTACCACTTAGTGGAACGGAAAATGAGCTTGTCGAGATTGATGAAAGAAGGGAGGGTGAGGGAGGAAGTGAGCCGTCATACCTTATGTAGGGGCTAAGCCAACAAGATGGTATCATACAAGGAAACCAAGGGTAAAAGGGCTACAGGCAGAAAATTGAAGGCAAACATGAATCTAAGGGTATATAGAATAAACGAGACAAATTGCCAGACCGAACCATATGTGAACCAAGCACAACCCCAACAGTAGAAGGATGGGTACGATCTCGATATGACACCATACCCAAGGAGGGAGGGAGGGTTCATCTTTCACCGAACGCAAACGCCCCATGCCCGACTATATTCCCAAGCCATAAACCCTCACAGCTGTGTGAAATTGATGAGAAAACGGTAGCAACGGAGCCACCCCCGATCACTCGGGAAGGTTTACTGTTTCCTGCCGGATATATGCGCGCTAGCACGCACTAACCTAGAGCATGCTCAAGTTGAGAGCTATTCTCTTCATGCATGTTTCCCTCTCTCCCTTTCCTAGCTTCTCCTTTTCCCTTACAATCGTTCTTATCACAATCAGCCCTTACACTCTACACTGCAGGGACAAAAGGGTTCGTCCGATGCCTTTTTCACACCAAAAATGGACATTTTTAAATGGGCGATTCTCAATGCTGCCTATATGAAAGCACGTCAAATCATTTCATCAGCTAGGGAAATGACCATCTATTCCAACCTCTACAAGTAGAAGTGTAAAGAATCAAAGCTGTCTTCATTGTTCACGGTTGTATCAACCAGCGTGAAAGTGACCTAAATTTTTTAATGGGGCTCCACACAAAAAAGTACATGGCAACTGATACCAGAAACTTAAACAACCTTTTCTCCATCACTTTATAATATTTAAGGATTCTGGGATATTTTTCATGTTATCTACAGGTTTACTAATGCATGGACAAATTTGCACAGGTTCTCATAGATATTGCGTGATGAGAAAGGGTGGTGAAGATGGGCACTTTTGGTGCAAAAAGGGCATCGGACGATCCCTTTTGTCCTAGTACTTTACTAAGAGTGCTAATATTACAAAGATTGGTGGGACTCCAGAGAGCCTGTTCCTGCGACAAGCTCCCTTCACCTCACTATCCACCCCGCTACCAGAGAGTTGTCCTTCAGTTCTAGCCCCTGTAGAATAGGCATCATGATATCGAAGGAATGATGCGTGTATTCGACTCCCACCACTTAAGGCAACAGTAGAGCACTTACCCCTCGAACACCTGGAACCTGTAAAGGTGCGAATCCTCCTGTGGACACTTCAGTGGCTTGCGGAGGATAGTGGAGGACTTGTACTAGAAGAGAGAAAGGTTGCCGTGCGACTTGTTCTTAATGTCATGCTTTGTATTATTTAAATGAAGTTTATTACTGTGAAGAAGTTGTGCCAGGGAGAAGCCTGTTATAGCTACCGGGGGGTGGGAGGGTGGTGTGCCAGAAGGTGGGGAAAGTCGGGGGCCGGGCACCTTTTACTTGTACTGGAATTTGAGGATTAGTAGGGGGCAGAGTCCATCAGGTGAGGAGTCTAAGTAGGAGTTATTCGGGTTGCTTGGCCGCTTGGACTTTGGCTTGGAGTAGGAGGAGTGGAGATTTGTGGAAGTTGAGAAAGGACATACCCTTGTAGTCCATCTTGGTGGTTACAGTTTGAATGAAGTCCTGTTGGTTGAGTAGCCTAAGGGCGAGGGGAAGGTAGTTAGAATCTGAGAGGAGCTGCGTCAGATACCCAAACTTGAGCACCTATGTCAGAAACAAGCAACGCGGATTCAGAAGTACAGAGGGTACATTTCTCGCAGGAGCCTAAACAAAGATTACGTTGTCATTAGCACTCGTGGTCCCTTAGTTGTTTTTATTATCAATGGACTCGTAGTAGCAAAGAAATGTATGGAGGAGGGTACCTACGTAAAGACCCGTCTTCTCATACATTCCTCGTAAACCTCCATACCACCAATCCACCTCCCTTTCCCCCCCAAAATGATGTCCAGGATCCTAGGTTTGTCAGTCAATTTCAAAGTTGTTTAGCAGCAAGGTTCCTAACCTAGACTTAATGTTGGCTTCAGCCAGCCTCGCCAGAAATGCCATCCCAAGCGAGAGCCTTGCTGGAGCTGTTATTCCAACCTCTATGACCATCGCCGACGGGAGGCTCCTCCGCCGCGCCTACCGCAAAGAGCAACAAACCCTCGAAAGCGGGACACGGCAGCGGGACCTATCCGGTTAATATAGGGAGGCCACCACCACCACAATCACCACCACCACCACCACCACCACTACTACAAGGAGCCCTGTCGGACGTGGGACGGAGACGCTTTTTGTAAATGTTTATGGAATCGTTCTCGTTCTGGCAGCTATCTGTGAGGGGCTTTGATTTCTTGTCATTATGGATATCTCGAATACTGCTTTCGTTGCTGCTATCTGCCACACTCCTTTTCTTCCACGCAATCCTATCCCCTCTTTATACAGTTGATTACCTTCTAACCCCCACCTCTTGCTCCTTCTCCGAGCTTCTCTTAAGTTCCCTTTACCCCTCCTCAATCAACCAATCTCATTCCTCCGTCTGACCACATGCTCCAAACCCCGCTCCGGCTAAACATCTTATATTGTACAGGGATACCGAAAACCCTCCAGAACATTCCATCCCTCATACAAATCGAATACTCATAAGCCTGACAAATAGGAAACCAATACAAGACCATCTCCGGAAGCTTCTGGCATACCCGGGATGAATTGATATGGCTTGGACAATCAGGTACGGGTGCAGTACCGGTGATTTTCAATAATACTGACGGGGAAATGCGGCAGAGCGGAGGGGGGGGTAACGAAGAGGCGAGAGGTGGGGGGGGAAAGCCGAGGAGAGGGGGCGGGTTGCTCGTGGAAAGGGTGGAGGGGCAGTGGGGGTCATAGAGAGCGAATAGCTGTGAGAATGAGCAAGGTAGGGCGGGGGGAATCGTATTCAAGAACCCCCAGGGTCCAACCCCAGATATTTCCCGAGGGAGGCTGAAGAGTGGGTGGGCTGCCCGTCGGAAGGGTGGGGGAGTGGAGGGGGTATAGAGTGGAGAAGTAGAGGTTTTATTCCCCATTATGCTTTTTTTCGTTTTTCAAATAATAATTATTACAACTAAATTTTCTTATGGTGCCTTGTTGTTTTGGTCCACATACCTTACCGGTTCCCCCACATTAGAGTGAGGACGTCCCGGTGCATAAATCGAAGCTAGAAGTCAGCAGTCTTATGCTTTGGTAGCCATGTCCGAGGCAAATCCTGAGAAAAGCAAGGAATACACATATGGTGACACAAACTTCTCGCTGTGAAGGAGTTTCCTTCCCTCTAAAATATTAGCCAGGAGTTCCAACTTCCAACTTTCATTCCCATGTGGGGCGCCGTCACTCTAGTATCCATCGATAAGAAGCCCTGAAGCAAATTGCCATGTACGGTACTCGTACACTCGTGGCAAGAAAGTTACTGGACAATTGCCGAATCAGATCTGCAGAAGGTTGTGTTATGGTTGCAACAGCATTATTACCTTATTGTAACATGACCTTTCTCCCCCTGTAGTCAATGTTGCAAATCACCGGCACTCCAATTGATTACCAGACCTGCAGGATCACTGCGAGTTCCAGAATGGAATACTGGCGAGAGGACCGCAGTGGACTGGACTATTGTTATTTCATTTGTCATGCTGATATGATGGTTTGTAAGAGAGATAGAAGATTCTAGAGCATGTATTAGATAAATGCAGGAGACAGGTGGCTAAGAAGAAGGAAATAGGATATAGTATGTGGTCAAGGAAGGATAGGTGATTGGTCAGAAGACATGATAAATAGGAAACAGACCGAACATAAGAGAAGGAAAGAAAAGGAAGGAAAAGCAGGGTTCTGTTGATCACAAGACTGGAGTTGATCGGAAATTGGAAGCAGGGGATGAGAATGGAAGCAAGGAGGCATTTTCTCAAGTGTATATAAGAGTGCAGGTTTGCCCAGGAAGATAAAAAGATAAGGACAGATATCATTGAAGGAACAGAGAATCCCGTACAAATTAAAAGACAACTTCCAAAGCACAGAAGAAATCACATTTGTCAAGGCTGATTTCAATAGGTTATGAGCCCAGAGAGCTCATAAGATACATGTTAAGAGTCCTACCGAGTAGGACCGAGCAACAGGTAACGATACTTCTCTTGATATAAAGGGATAGTTCTCAGGCCTGTGCCTACGCGATCCCGATAGTCCAGTCCTAGGACTACTATCTTGTTTGTGCCTATCTCCTTATTCTTCTCTTTAGTCCTTGCTTAGGACTTAATCTCTCCTCGTGGGAGGAAAGACAATTCTTGGGTTTCTTAAGATAAATCTTAAAGAGCGTAAAGGTAGGTTTTATTGATAATAACTTGAAGGTAGGAAATAAACAAGAAGAACATGTGAAGAGCTCATACTCAGGGTCCTAGTGACCCCTTTATATAGTAGCTCTTCACCTGGCATTACTCATACCTCTCGTCACGCGAACCCTGTGACTCATAACCATGAGTCACGTGAAATCCATCAGACGACTCCTATGAGTTGCTACGCAACATGCCTAAAACCAATCAAAACATAATAATCAAGTCAGGTGCGCAACTTGCATCACCTGAGTGAAATCCATGACTCATAAATATGAGTCATGTGTGAAAATCATAACATCGTGTGACTCACAACTGTGAGTCACGAACAGGTAAACATAATAACCTATGGCGCACTGGCACTAATGTGCGTCATGTGAAATCTCAACATACCTATAACTCGGAAGTCCGAGCTATGTAAAATCTGCCTTGCTTAGTCACAGTTTGTGATAATACAGTTCATCTTCACAGTACAACAATAGCAAAAGCATACAAAACCCACGATGTCCACCGAAACTCCCACTACCATTCCTCTTAGTAGTAGTACTACTAGTACCATATTTCTCACACAATCAATCAAGAAACTTGACAGTTCTATGGCTACCGGTCGAAGTAACTACAATGCCTGGTGTTTCCAGATGATTTGGATTCTGAAAGAGAAACATCTCGTCACTGCAATCGAACCTACTCTCGAAGCTATTAGCTAAACGAAAGACAAACAAGCCTTTACCATCATTACCCTGAACATAAAGGATTCTCAAATACCTTACATTAAGGATAGCACTACAGCACAGCAAGCTTGGGAAGCTTTGATGGTAGTTCACTACCGAATTGGAGCCAGCAGAAGAATGGTCTTAATGTAATGGCTATGGGTGTTGAAGATGTCTGATAGTAGTGATATGGCCGAGCACCTAAACCAGTTCTGAGAATTAGTGAATCAAGTCTAGAGTCTTTCTAGTAAAGGAAAAGGAATTGATGACACAGAGTTGGTAATGATGCTGAGTCTTAGCTTACTACCATCATTCGAACCACTAGTAATAGCCCTTCAGTCATAAAGTAAGGAAATTACCTTTGAAGTTTTTACTGGTAGGTTATTGCAGGAGTTAGCAAGAAGGCAGGTTGGACAAGTTGTTGCAAAAAGGGAAGGAAGTAGTACATCAGGCCAAACTACATTCAGTACTCTCCGAACTTCCCATACCTCGAGTCGTCTTCCACAGTGCGGACAAAGCTACAGATTCCAGAACTATGGTTGTAGCCAGGATGGAGGACGAGGTTTCCAGCAGAGGGCAGCCAACTTCCGATCAGGGGACATGGACTATGGACAGCGCAGAAGTCCCACCTCTGACCTAAGCTTGGGAAAGAATGGGAGTGCTTGCTTTTATTGTGGAAAAGCTGGCCATTGGAAGAAAGACAATTTTAAGAAAAGATCAGATCAGGAATGAGAAAGTTCAGTCAACACAGATCCTAGAAGTCGATTTACCTTTATGGCATACGGTACATCAGATGCTGTATTGTCGGATGGGTGGATAATTGGTTCTGGGGCCAGTCAACATCTTTGCCACAACCTTAGCCAATTTTCCAACTACTAAACTAGCCCATCAGCGAAGCAAATAACAGTTACAAATAGAGTGACGATCATGGATACAGGCTACGGCAATGTTGAACTAAAAGGAAAGAGCAGATCAGTTAGCTTGAAAGAAGTCTGGTATGTTCCAGAGATGGGTGCAAACCTATGGTCAGTATCACAGATAGTGAAAGGAGGATATATGATCCAGTTTCTACTGGGAAAGTGTATTGTGAGTCGACATGGGATCAACAGTGTAATCGGGGATCAACAGAACAGTCTCTATTATCTGCAGTAGAGATCAGCAACTCCAGATTTGATGATAGAATCAGCAAAGTTAGGGCTTGTTACGAATTGAGTGTGATGTAAATCACAAGAGACATGGCATTGCCATTTGGGTCATCGGTTGTTGAATAAAATGACTATAGAATACATCAGCAGCAGCATTAGAAATATGTACATTATGACTAAGGAAGAAACAATGCACGAAACCCATTTGTACCAGGTGTGTGCACTAGGACGTCAGCATCAGAAATCAGCAAGTGGAGTATGAAGGAAGGAAATGGACCTCCTGGAAGTCATCCACTCCTATCTCTGTGGGGCAATGGAGATTCCTACCATAAGTGGAGAAAAATACTTTACTACCTTCATCAATGAGAAGAGCGGAAGAGTCAGTATAGCCTTACTGAGAAATAAAAGTGACACCCTTACCAGTTTTCAAGACTACTATGCTCAAGCAGAACGAGAAAGCCAAAGAAAAGTTATCACACTCTATACAGATGGCGGTGGGGAATATTGAAGTGAAGAGTTTAAGACCTTTTTAAAGACCAGAGGAATCAAATACATTGCTAGCCCACTGTACAATCTCTGACTGAATGGATTAGCAGAAAGAATGAATCGTACACTTGTCGAATCTGACCAATGCATGTAGGAAGATGCTAGAATAGAGAAACATTTCTGGAGTTATGTGATACTTACTTCAGTACATATTCACAACTGGCTGCCATCCCACAACTATAAAAACACATCACCAATGGAGCGTTGGACAGGGGATAGACCTGACGTCAGCCACTTGCATGTATTTGGCTCGACCAGCTGGGTCCACGTTCCTAGAGAGAGAAGACAAAAGTTAGATGCGAAGTCAACCCAGCCTGAGTATATACTTGTGGGATATGAGGAAAATGCGGGATCGAAGATTTACCACCTATATGATCCAATTACTGAAAAAATAATCCAATCACGAGATATAATAATTGATGAAGGGCAGAATCTCTCTAACGGCCAATAGGAAGTTAGTTGGTCTGTCCCCAATCTCAGGGACATGGAAATTGAGAAAGAAATAGCAGTCCCTGAATGGACTATTTCGAACCACCTGTCCATGAGAGATAATATCGACCCAGAAGAAATAATAGAAGAAAGCATTACCCTTTGATCCTCTACTGCAAGAGAAGAAAAATCAAACCTTGGAGAGGAAAACAAAAATACATGAACCCATATAGAGGAATGTAAGTTTTCACACAATGTACAGCGATCTGACTGACAAAAGAGGCCTGTAAACCTTTTCCAGCTACAAGCATGGTACACATTAGTAGTACAAGGACTAGATCAAGATCTACAAACCCTGTCTGCAGCTTTAACCGGACCTGATAAGGAGAAGTGGGAAGAAGCTTGGCAGTCTGAGCTAAACTCATTAGCAAGGAACAAGACCTGGATCATAGAACCACTCCCACTGAACCGGAAAACAATTAGTTGCTGTTGGCTCTCTAAGAAAAAAAAAGAATAGGTGGTATAAAGCTAGACTTATTGCAAAAAGGTATAGTCAGAAATATGGGCTTGACTATCAGGAGACATATGCTCCAGTAGCGAAGTTTCCCACAATTCGCTTACTACTGGCACTTGTTAGCGAGAATGATTGGGAAATTATTGGCATGGATGTCAGAACCGCATTCCTAAATAGCGAGTTAGAAGAAACAGTATATATGGATGTTCCCAAAGGCTTACCAATACCAACAATAGAACGAACATCCAACCAGAAATCTCCGATCATCTGTCATCTTCTGAAATTGATTTATTGATTAAAACAGTCACCATGGGCATGGTATAGGCATATACATACCTTCTTTCACCAGCAAGGCTTTACAAGGAGCAACTAAGATCACAATCTCTTCATACATTATGAGAAGAATATTATCTTATTGCTTTATGTAGATGATCTTGTATTGACTGCACCAACAACAAATAAAATCGATTGGATCCGAACCTGCTAATGTCAAGAATTCAAGATAACAACCTTGGGAGACTTGACTTCCCTTCTGGGCCTGGAAGTTAGATGCAACCAAAAGACTTGGACACTCCACTTATTACAAATGGCCTATATCGAAAAGATCCTTTTTGGACATGGGATGCAAAACTGCAACCTGGCCTGGACACTAGCTGATCCTCATATATGACTAGAAAAAAGTCCATCATCCTGTCAAGTGACCCCGGAGAACACAAAGAGGTACCAGTCCATTGTCAGTTGCCTAATGTATGCAATACTAGATACAAGACCGGACATAGCATATGCAGTTGCGAAAGTCAGTCAATATAGTACAAATCCAGGGTGTACACAGTGGACAGCAGCCAAGAGGATTATGAGATACCCTGCATGAACTGCCGATGTTGGACTATGCTTTTAGTTAAGGGAAAGTGTAGCAGGAGTTGGCCACACTGATGCAGATTGGGGCTCCAGTGAGGACCAGAAATCAATTGGAGGATATGCATTCAGTATCAATGGAGCCGCAATATTATGGAACAGTAAGAAGCAGGCAAGTGTTGCCCTCTCCTCTACAGAGGCAGAATATATAGCTATGACACAGGTAGTCAAGGAGTCGATTTGATTACAGGGACTTCTCGGGGATGTTGGAGCAATTAAATATGATCTCGGAACTATAAATATCAACAACCAAGGAGCACTTGTATTAACAAAGAATTTAGAGTTCTATAACCGGACAAAACATATTGATATACAGTATCACTTTGTCTGCAAACACGTCAAAAATGGAAACGTTCAGCTTACCTACTGTGCTACCACCGACATGACTGCTGATATCTTCATAAAAAGCACTTCCAGAACCTGCTTTTATCAAGCATTGTCAAATCTTTAGTCTAATGACAAATTCGCTTTTCCTCCTCCTAGAAGATCAAATGTCAGAAGCTGATTATGATTTGGATATAACAATTGTTGGAGACCAAGTAAGAGCAACAAAGTATAGCTCACCTGGAGTACTAGTGAGGGGAGGTGTTGCAAATCACCAGCGCTCCAATTGATCACCAGACCTGTAGGATCACTGTGAGTTCCAGAATGGAATACCGGTGAGAGGACTGCAGTGTACTGGACTATTGTTATTTCATTTGTCATGCTGGTATCATGGTTTGTAAGAGAGATAGAAGATTCTAGAGCATGTATTAGATAAATGCAGGAGACAGGTGGCTAAGAAGAAGGAAATAGGATATAGTATGTGGTCAAGGAAGGATAGGTGATTGGTCAGAAGACAGGATAAATAGGAAACAGACCGAACATAAGAGAAGGAAAGAAAAGGAAGGAAAAGCAGGGTTCTATTGATCACAAGACTGGAGTTGATCGGAAATTGGAAGCAGCGGAGGAGAACGGAAGCAAGGAGGCATTTTCTCAAGTGTATATAAGAGTGCAGGTTTGCCCAGGAAGATAAAAAGATAAGGACGGACATTATTGAAGGAACAGAGGATCCCACACAAATTAAAAGACAACTTCCAAAGCCCAGAAGAAATCACATTTGTCAAGACCGATTTCAATAGTCAATACTACCTGTCGCATGACTGGAGATGCCTATGAGAAAGTGTAATAGAAAGAGATAATATGAAGTAACAGAAGAAGAGTTTTCTATGCCACTGAACTGCATCAGCGGGGCTACTCCTATCGTCAGATTCAGCAACAAATTGGCCATGAAAGAGGAAGTAAGGGAGACATTTTTAAACTTGTATCATAGTAAAAAAATTATTCCGCCACTGCCCGGTAAGTTTCTTACGGCGGGTTCACGAGTGGTAGGGATACAGACCCTAAGACATCGTTTTTATTTGCATAGGAAAATGTCGCAACTGTCTACTTGTACAAGTACCACACTCCCTTGCTGTTCGGTGTTTTTGCTTCTCTTCTAACCACCCATGAACTTACTTGGCAACCCTTTGTACGGAAAAACATCTTTCCTGGCGCTTGTAAGTCGCTTAAAGTTATCAGCTCCTCGAGTTTTGTAAAAATTCTTGGAATCCACCATCTCCGTATTCAGAGAGAAAACCCCCCGAGAAGGATTATTGTTTTCCTGATATAGTAAGGACTAGCCTACTGGATGTGCTGGATCACATTAGCTGGTATTCACAATTCTGTTAACATCTAAAACTAAACCTATCATGGGATGACGGGCTGACGGAGCAAGTGGATTCCAAAAGTTTTCACGGTAGACGACACGCAACCGCATGGCCACTAGCGGAAGGAGATTGTGTATTCGAACACTGCTTTGTGCCCGGTTGCCCCCTAATCATCCTAACCACGAAAAATTCAGATTTTCCCCCCACCACCCACTGAATACAACTTGCTGAGGAAAGCTCTCGGTTTGTTTGTGAACTCCTGCAGTTTTGAAATGTCCCGTCTACTAACTACCTGTTATATATTTTTCAGCTTCTGCTTCCAAGAATCGGGACCCCCTTATCATCATTGCCGGAGGTTTTGCAAGTCACGCTACGGGGATCATGTGCGGGAGACAAACCGGTCCCTACGCTGCGCCAGGATCAAAGAATTGCCCTACCACCGAGCAATTCCTTCACGAGGAGCAACGTACAGAGAAGGAAATTCCGACTGACGGCCACGTCTTGTCCCGTACCACGAACGTGACCCCATCCCTTGGTGGAAGCGGGTAGCCTTTGCAAGGCTCAAAGACTGCAGAGTATTCTGCTATTTTCGGCACGGTCGGAATTCCAGTAATTGCGGTTGAGGTAGCTGTGGTAGTTGCGGTGGTTGCGGTGGTTGCGGTATTGGTGTTTTTTGTTTTTTTAATTGTTTTCGGGGTGATACAACTAGGAAGAGCGGATGTCCATGGTCCGGGTCTGCGATGGAAAGGCTTTACTACAATGGTCGTAACTTAAAAAAAGTTCCCTAATATGACACCCGCAGCGGGGTTGGAGTGGTAGCGCTGTTTACAAAAATTCGATAGAGGGTCCACTAACATGTCGAGACAGCTTTTCATCCAACACGAGGATTCGTCCAGTGCCAATCAAAACTTCACTGTTCTGATACCGGTACTATGATACCACAAGATACGTAACTCCCTATAAAATAAGCACTTTTCGTATTATGAGCTTGAGATGATAATAAAACCTCTAGAGTAGAATGTTGTGTGAACCCACCCTCCCCCACCAATAACCATTGACAAACACATCTTCCCCCTACTCAAGGTTTACCAGAATAACTCCACGAATGCCCGTACTCATATCTGGCAACAGCTCCAATCTCCAGGCCTTGATCGATCCCTCCAGAGAAAGTCCCTCCACCCTCGATGCCTCGATAATCCCCATCCTCTCGAACAAAAAAGCAGCCTACGGTCTGAAGCCGGCAGCTAACGCCGGCATCCCACCAACATACTACAACCTTCTTGCCTACGGAGGTAAAAATCCCAACAATCCTCAAGAAACCCAAGAAGCTTATGATGCCCAACTTACAACGCTGATCCCGGCCCAGACTCCCGATTTGGCGGTCTGTGCTTGTTGGACGCACATTCTTTCCCCCACGGCCCTCGAACCCCGGGAGGAGGCTGGTGTCGACATCATAAACCACGACTCTGCCTTACCAGGACAATTCGATGACGCAAATGTAATCGAACGAGCCTATGAAGCGTTTCAGGGGGGGGGGGTCACGAAGACTTGTACCATGATTTACTATGTTATTGTTGCCATGGATAAGGGAACACCGATCGTCGTGAGGGAGATCGAGATGATTAAAAGGAAGAGTTTGGAGGATCTAGAGAACGGGATGTACGATGTTGAGCATGTTGAGGTCGTGAACTGTACAAGGATGGTATTGGAGGCGCAGGAGAAAAAATAGACAGATGAGTGAATGATAAACCCGGGGTTATTCTGTTTGATTTTTTTCTGTCAAAATATTTCGTCCCCTTCCTTAGCACGAGACACATGAACTATGCTATTTTTCCCCGACCACACCCTACAATACTTGAATTGGCCTGCCTACTCCCGAACTTAACCAGGATTTGAGGCATTCAGATGCCTCAATAATCTCATCTCCCAATCGATTCCTTCTATTGGTTAGTAGTAGTTTTGAACTGTGAGAATAATTAGTAATGCATGATGGGGTTGGCAATATTCAGAGTTCAGGAAGGTTGAGTAAGGAAAAGGAATTTAAGTTCACATATCTACTAAACAGTCTCTTAGAATCGGCAGACATGGCAGGAATCATAAAGATGTCGATTGCTATTTGAGCTATGTCCTTTTGCCGAATATTCTCAAGGTGGTCAATCCAATACTGTAGTAGGCCACTAGGAAGATTGTCCTCTGTTTCGTGCTTGATATAGCACTGAAGCTCATCATGGTTGTCTCCAATAAGCCTTTGTCTTTTTTTTTTCCATTCTGGTAAATCTCTAAGATGTGACAACTCTTCTAGAAAAGGAGAATCATTGCTTGAAGTTCTAGGTTGAGCAGAAGGAGTTCTTGGAAAAGTGACTGGTAGCAGGATAGTTTCGTTCGCATGGTAGGAACTAGGTTTGTACTCTGATTTCCAAACCATTTTGACTGTAGATTTCATGTTCTCAATCCAATCTGGTCTGGCTTCCCACTTGTTCTCAAAGTATTTATACTTCATTTCCAAATTAAGGGTAACAGCAAGGAAGTGCGCTGGAACAAGATCCGTTAATATGTAATACCTAATAGGTGTAAGTTATTAAGAGTTAATTAATCAATATAGGAGAGTGAAGAGAAAGAGGTATTTTACACTTGTTTAATAGATTCCAGACAAGGTTTATAGAAGTTCAGATATGTTGTATTTCATGCTCTCAGGATTGTTCAAGCTGGTAGAGGAGTTCATCCATCGCTGGAAAAATGTTATGTAGTTGTCCAAAGTGAATTTTACTCTGCAAAATCAACTGCCATTTCTGGAAGGGCTGCAGAATATGCATGACTTCACATAGGATAATCCAGTCACTGGGGGTTAGCTCATCAAGTTGAAGGGAGGCAGGAGTACCATTATTTTCTGTATCCTCATTCTGGCGAAGCACTTGTGACACAAAATTCTCTAGTAGATTCTGAAGATCAAAGGCGCATATGAGGAAATCATAGTTTCTACGCCATCATGTAGTATTGCCGCAGATAAGAGATACTACTTTCACATTTGGACCAAGAGACTTTTTTACTTCTGCTTGAAATCGTTCCCTTCTTTGTGGCGATTGTGGTATCCAAGTAATAATATTGTGATGTTTTCTGAGTGGCCCTTTCTGTCGCCAGGCTTCTAATTCCTCCGTCTCGTATTGGAGGTCATGATAGGTAGATATCTGTGCCTCAAATACCTCAGCATCAGATCCTGATAGGAAGGCCTTAACTACAAGGTTTATTACGTGGCCAAAGCAATGCAGGTGGCATTGTATGGGATCAAATGGTATATCTAGTTCCTTCAAGTGCTGGGTGATATGTTGAAGTGCTGTATCATTATTGCAAGCATTATCAAGTATGAAGTATCCTATTTTATCAATAATACTATATGGCTCAACAATTTCAAGAAAACAGAAAGCTAAATTTTCTCCCATGTGCCACCCATAAAATCTCTGCATTCCAATTACCATACTCTGAAGTTTGTAGTCAGGGTCCAACCAGTATACAACAATGCCAAGAAAAGCCCGGTAGTTTGGCAATGTCTACATATCATAGATAGAGTAGACTTTACTTCTACTTTGTCGAACCAAGTACATGAGACTCTATTGAGAATGATAGAACTGTTTCAGAATCTAACTGCTAATAGTATTTGCAGAGCTAGGAAGGGTGCATGGCATCTAAGTATGGGTAGCATTCTGTAGAGATAATTCATGTAAGTTAAATTTATTAAGTATTCTACCATTGATCCTACTTTCTCTTGGAATTGTCACGGCCACCCGGCTATGGAGACGGAATATGCATGGGTTTTTGGTTGCATATATGGGATGTGGTTTCCTTGGTTGCATAGTAGAATTTCCTTTGTATAGGTGAATGGGACGCGTTGCCGCACAAAGGAAGATAGCGGAACCAGACGGAGGAATCGTGACTGCGCGCGACGCCAAGGACTTTCTTTTGTATTGGTAATCATGGAGGATATCCTTAGTATATAAAGGGGTGTGCCCCTTTATATTTTTCTTTCTTTACGCAATCTGGTAATCTCCTTTGGACACCCTTTCTTACGTGCCAGGGATATTCCTTTACCTCTTTGAAGCTTTTCGGCTCGGTTAATTATTTTGCACTTTGTTTGTTTATTTTGTTTCACCACACTTGAAGCATTTTACTCCCTCCTCCCCTCGCTTAGGGTTGAGTTGGTATGCGCTACCTAGCCTCGAAGGCACTTTGGACGAGATATCCGTGGTTTAAGCCTGGTAATCCCAGGTGCACTCGGGTGGGCAGACATGTCGTCTCCCTCCCATTCTCCTAAGGCTTTGGCCTTATCGTTTGAGGTTACGTCGTCCATGATTTCGGATGCTGAGCCTTCCCTCTTTGCCTTGGGCACGCCCTCGGTTATCCTCGACATTGCAGTCCCACCACATGATCGGGTGAAACACCACCGCGCCCTTGTTCCTTTTGAGATCCAGTCCTACCGGGCTCCGGGAGGTGACTACAAGTTCCTCTCGTTTGATCACGATTACGGTTGCATCAACGCTGTCAACGAGGCGTTTGACAATGAAGTGAAGGCTATGGTTATTGCTGCCAAGCCTGTCACGATGAAAGATGTGGAGTGTTTGGTGAAGGGCTGGTTGATTGGTAGGGGTTGTGTGGCTGGATGTGGCCTGGACCTCGCCTCGACTGCCGGATTCTTCGACCGATACAATCCTGATGGGGGATCGGAATTCGCACCATCCCACGACTCCTCGGCTCCTGGTGATTCGCAAGCAGTGATCCCAGAATCCTTTGCACCCGCCCCTCAGGAAAGCGATCCCTCTGCTACCATGGAGGCATCCAGCTGGGCATCTACCCCCCTGAGACAGATCATGTCAAGGTCTGTTGTGGAAGGAATGGCGCCGGAAACGTTGGCTCCCCTGGCTCCCAGGGGCCACTCCACGCCCGCCCTGTTGGACGCAATGTCGCTGTCCTCTAGGCATGAGAAAATTTACAAGAGAGGTAACTTTGGACTTAACGCTAGTTCAGATTCCGACTACGAACATACGCCGCCCCCTTTTGCGGAACGAAAACGACGTGGACGATCCCCTTCACCCGACCCTACTATGGTATCTGTGTCCAGTGGGAGCTCGGGTTCGGTGCTCACTCCTACCAAGGGAGTGCCGACCAAGGAAGGAAGGAAAATGATGGTGGTCCGCAGGGAACAGCTGACCCTGGGGGAAATTAGACGACAGATAGCGCCTGGGTTCGAACAGGTCCCATACCCACCATTGTAACAGGGGCTCCCTCAGGTAGATGGCTCCTAAGGATGCGACCGCACCAAACTTCGAATCTCTCAAACACAGCTCTTGCAAAAGTGTAAGGAATAAAAGTAAACGGTAAAACTTAATATTGTTAAGCTCAGGCTTATCTCAATTAAAGTCTCTCGAGAGGATGTTGATTGTGTCGGGGTAGGAGAGTTCTCGTATAATCTTTAAGTAGTCAGACTTATACCAAAAACTCCCCCATCAGGTTACCCCAACCAACGTGAGTATGCCCTTCTCCGTAAGGGTTGCCCTGGCACCATTACTGTGTCCCCGAAGGGCTATAGGTGTCAGCACACTCTAGCAGAAATCTCCCATATGCACATCAGTTTCTGCCAGGTGTTTACCAATACACCTGCCGGAGTGAAAACCTCTGAACATCGGTGTCTCGTCAGTGGCTAACTGTCGAGACCCTTAGGAAAGCTAACTAAATGACTCTCTTCCCATATGCTATGACCTATGCAAGCACTCGTAGACATCAGCTGTCTTCCGGTTAAGTTCTATCTTTCTTGATTGCGAACTTAGGGGGTCTACGACGCTCCCGCGGAAAGCTGTGTCGGCGGCGGGACCCGTGGGCGCTACCCATGGTCCCTTACCCCCGGCACACCACTCACCACGATAAGTATCATGCTATTTGAGTCTTCAAACAACCCATAAAGAGTCTACGGCAAAGGGGCACGTGTAGGCTTGATTGGCGTAAAACCTTCCCAAATGTCTCAGGCACTACCCTGGACTACTCTGGGGACCCTTCCGGATAGCTCACGCTAACTCCGTCAGTTTTGGTCCGTTTTACTCTGTTCCTTTTGGAGAAGGTACCTGACCTTCTCACCTTGGCCCTCCTATATATCCTGCGAACAGCTTCCGGTCGGACGGACGGCGACGACGCGTACAGTGTTATGGACATGTCTTCATAGATTCCATTTAACTAGCATAACGGCAACTCCACCCATTTTGGCCCATGATGCCCGGGGCGAACCCTGGGGCCGCAGGTACATGTTAGGAATAATTCTACCAAGTTATAGCTTGTTCGGAGCACAATAGCTCCTTCCGTAGTCTTCCGATCAAGGTGCAATCAAGTATCCATCGATCGTTATTGTAACGTGTTCGCACCGGGGTGCTAATCACGCTTCCGGGTACAATAGGAGTAGTGCACAAGTTGATCTACAACTGGTGGGCGTACTGCGCTAAGGGAGGCTCCGAGAGGAAGATATAAAGAATAGGGACTTGAAGAGGTAACCGTTCAACCAAGTATATTAGAAATACTCTGTCCGTCGAAGTCTGCTGTTCCTCTAAGGGACTCAGCGGTCTTTAAATACAAGCTTCGTCCATGTCCTGCATAGACGGATTTCCAAATCCTCTGTAAGCCACCCATAAAACAAACTGAGTATCAAAGGATACTCGAAACCACAAGTAAAACAAACTGAGTATCAAAGGATACTCGAAACCACAAATAAAACAAACTGAGTATCAAAGGATA